ATTTTAAAAGGCTTCTAAAGTTTCAAAACCTCGTCATACTTAATCAGTTAGGTTATACCATGCAGATTATGGTTTAAAAGGTGCTAATAAAGGCTCCTCAGAAGTACGTGACTGTTATGTTGCCTGGTGCCACTCCTCTAAAGTCTTGTGTATCTGAGCAACCAAGCACTAGTTGACAAGAGTGAACTGTTTAGCTGAATGAGTATCGTACAGCCTTCTAAACAGAGTCCGGGTAGCTTCTACATTCTGTAGAATTATCAGGCTAGTTTTGACTGCATTGCTTCAGCTGTTAAAACAGCTTGTGACAAATAATGAATGCAGTTTAATGCTGTTTAAAGAAAACTAAACTGACTCCAGTTTAATTGCTCAAACAGTAAAGGCTTTCAACTACCTATGATGTTGAAACACTATTTTAAAATCAAACAAAATCAAAGAAGTTACAAAATTATCATGTAACTTAGAACCTGTGTTTCTTCTCAGTGTGAATCATGAAGGAATCGGGTGAAGATGCTTTCAGTAGAAAAAAGGTTGGTTAGTTGGTTGTTATTATAGAAGAGATAGATGGTACAAGACAAGCAAGGCATTTCAAACCAGCATGGGGGGATGTGGAGATTTTAATTTAAGCCCCCCCACCGATCTAGTGAAGCAAGTGGGTCGGTGAAGGAACACAAAGCTGCTGAAATGTGAGAGATGAAAGACAGGACCGTTGTCTAGCTATGATTTTTGGGAGTGAGCCAGAGCTTTTTTTTTTTTACAGGTAAGTGTTCTGTGGAAAGAAAAGGACGAAAAGGAGCCTTTTTCAACCCTTAGAGACAAATCTGTCTGTTTAGCAATAAACACAGATAACATAAAAATTAATTTAAAAAAAACTCCCAGTTTCAAAAAACTGTCATGAAGATGAATTTCTGAGAGATATTTTAGCTGATGTGGACAGAAAACAAATATTCTACAACATAAACAGATGAAGACAAAAGTTTAATTGGCTAAAACTGGTCAGGAATTAATTCATATGAATTCTATTGAAAATTTCACAAACAGGATCCCGCTGACTGTTTTTTTACAACCTAGACTAACTTTCCAGACGATGGACATTTATTTACCCAAACAATCTTTTATTGTCCTTATATACAGTATCATTTGATTTTTTTTGAGAACCTGAATTATAAGATTTAGTTGTTAGATATCCTCAACTAACTAAACAATCAGTAACGGGTTAGAATATATCACTTGTATGTAATAAATATATTTAATGAAACTTTTAATGAAAATTCTTTGCACAAGCCTCTGTTTAAAATATTTAGGACAACATGAACATAAAAAAACCCCAAAGGACTGAGAAAATGTAAGTAAGCTTCATGTTCTAGACTACAGTTGCCGATTTATCCAAGTTCTATTTAAAATTTTACCCTCTTTGGTGTCTATCAATATGTTATTAATTATTTCTTTCTCCACTTTTTTTTTGCTATTACACTGTCACAAGTACAGAGCAATGAAATGAACTCTCTGCATTTAACCCATCCCCTTGGGGAGCAGTGGGCTGCCATTGTGCAGTGCTCGGGGAGCAGTGTGCAGGAGCAGAGCTAGATGGGGGGGGCAGTGGTGGCCATGCCCACCCTTAGCCCCTCATTGGCCACCCCTGTGGCCAACCCTTACCATTATCTTCCCTCTGATACAGATTGTGGCAGCAGTAATACTCGGAAGTGTGATATTCAAAACATTTCAATTTTTCATATATTAACAGTTAGTTGACAACAAAAACACTGTGGTTTATTATGCACATCAATATACTAACATGATAAGTACAGTATTCAGGCCCTTTTCAGAACTAGATTTTGTGAAAAGAGAAGAATGCAAGTCATCTAGGAGTCTTTGGTTAAATCATGAATAAATAAATATTTTGATAAAAAATTGTATAAAATCGTTGCTCTGTACCTGTGACAGTGTAATGACAATAAAAAGTGGAAAAAGAAACCGTTCATAACATATTGATAGACACCCAAGAAGGTAAAAATTTTAATGGAACTATATTTATATAGTATATATAGTTTTATAAAACTATAATCAGTTAATGACTTTATTGATCTAACAGTGGAGAAATTTGCTTTATGTGGATATTAGTACTTGTAAATATCAATTTTATGCAGAATGATTATTTATAAAAGTAGGTACATAATGACAATAGAAAAGATTTAAGCCCCAGAACTTAACCCTAAAAGATTTTATCCACTATACCTTTTATCTAGCAAGCATGGATGTTTAAATATATGCATCTATTTGTTAGCAAAGGCTTTTGGAAAGTATAGTTAATCTTTATTTAGAAAATATGGATGCTTTGCTTGTTAATTTTCCTGTTGGAAGAGTGTAGATTGACTCTGAGGTTCTGGCACCTAAGCACTTTTGGTCACCCCTCAGTGTACATTGGTTAATGCCTGGCCACCCTTATAAAAATTTTCTGGCTACACCTCTGGCAGTGTGGGAGTTAAGGGTCTTTGCTCAGGGAGCAAGAGTGGCAGTGGGTTTCAAACTCACAGTCTCAGGATTCCAAGCTTTATACCCTAACCACTAGGCCACTACCTGCAAAGTGTGTTGTCCTTCATGTAGAATATTACTGAAATATGTGGGGATATATTAAATGAGGGTTAATCTTAGGAATCTAATTGAGTATTGTAAATTGAGCAAAGTTATGGGCTTCAACTCTTGCAAGGAAATATCTCACGGAGGCTGCCCAAAGTCTGCTGTTTCAACCTGAGAAAATTAGAGGACTTTGAGGTGGAAAAAAACTGGTTATCATATTCTAGGTTGTGAGTTGATAGGAGGAGCGGCAGCGTGAAAAAGAGCATGCTTAACGAGGACTACATGACGGCTGGAGAGGGAGGATCGCTGCCACATACAGCGTGTCTGGATCAGATGAGCGGGGGTCACCCAGGATTCCCTTGAAACTGCTCTCCGGGGGAAAAACAAACAGGATTAGACGAGAAAGATTTCATTCTAGCCTCGTTTACTGGGGTAAAATCCACGTTATCGCTGCTTTTGCCGCAGCTGCTGCTTGACAGAAGCTCACTCTGTCATCGATTTTTTTTGTTCTTCTTTTTTTTTCCTTTCTCATTTTTCGTTTCCTTTCTTTTTTGTCAACATGCCGAACGAGGGGAGGAAAGTGAGCGGAATACTATCAGGAACAGACTATTTGGATGAATGAGATTCGTTTTAAAAAAAATCCAATAAAACCTAAATTAATTTGGATTGTTTTTTCATTTCTAAATTATATTATTGGTAAAGCTACCGAAAACGAAAAAAAAAAAAAACTCGGCAATGCGTTTCGATTACCTCTTTTGTTTTAGTACAATTTAAAAGAATATCTGGCTGGTCGATGCGAGAACGCAGACAGCTGAGCTCAACAGGCGGTAAAGTAAAAGTTTTGCATGTATTATTCTCTCTCAATCAGTCTTTGTTTCATTTTTTGCTTACAAAAAGCCGATGTAAGGCTATGCATTGAACCCAAAGGCCAATTTTGTATCTGTCTCCTGGATACACGCCCCGCTCTTATTATTAAAAACAAAAACGTTTGTTGAAGGAGAACTTTGTGCTGCGTGTCTTTCCAACAGTCATCTGCTTGATATTTTCTCCAAAATATCAAGAACTGTAGCCCACGGTCTGTCAAAACTCCGGAGAGCGAGGCTCTATGAAGATCGCGACACAGTTGTTGCTTTCCCCTCGCAGAAATGCCAGTGCGCGCCGTGACCACCAGGTTCATGTACAAGGGGCTTTGCACTATTCCAGATGTCCTTTCCTACCGGACCCCTGTTCACCTGCCCGACGACGAGGTGGAAGGTGAGCGTTGGTGTATGTTTCGTATGATTTTGGAGGTGTTTGATGATTTCTACCTTTTGTTGATGTCTGTGTAGATCCATGAGGCTTTCAGCACCCTGGAGAGCTCTCCAGGGAGATGCCGGCACCCTGGAGAGCTCCCCGGGCTTTGCCTTATCTTTCTTTGTATGAAATTCTATAAAAATAAAATTTTATTTATCTAATTTTAGAGACTGAAAGTTTAAGGGGGAAGCCAAAGTTGCTTTAAGGAATTTTGCACATTTTTAAGGCAATACTGGCAAATTACATGGGTTAAATAATGAATAAATTTAGCCACTATCTTAGCCAATTAAAGAAAATATAATTTATCTTCTGAAAATTGATTTACCCGGGCAACTTTTAATTGCATCTGTTGTGGTTGTAAATGATTTGCACCTATTCCAAGAGAAAAAAACACAGGAAATTAGAAGAAGTTTCGTTTAGTTGTGCCTTTGAATAATTAAAATCTTCTGCTTAGTCTGGATGCATCGACAAACCTTGCAGAAAGTATTACTGGGTACTTCTCATTTCACCAAGTACCTTCATTATCACATTTTAACTAAACAAACTTAACAGAAATGTCACACCAAAATGGCTTCTGAAAATATCTGCTGAGCTAGAAACTGCTATTGTAGTCAAGGTGTGTTTTTGTTAGGGGTAGAGGTTTTGTTTTGCCAAATTGCTCTCAGAATGAGAAGGCACAGCTGGCAGGGAATGGGAACAAAGCCAAGTAGACTGCAATAAAGAGATTCACAGGATAAGATTAGATATCACTTAGTCTTTTTTTCCATTTCCTCTCATCTTCATCTATTTCTATTGTCTACAGGTTGCCCACACATTAAAGCTTGCCCTTGCTTTGAGCCATTCCTTTGACATTGAAAATCCACAAACTGCAGTGGTGACATAAATTAATTTAAACAATTGGATTTGTGGACAAGTAATAATTAAAAGAAGAAGAAAAGAGAAAGCTTTCCATGTTATGTAGAGTTAAATGAACAGAACAAAGAGAGACAGATCAGTCAACCCTTAATTCATTTAACAACTAAATATTAATTGCTAGACTAATGTGGGTTCATCTCTCAGAACAAACGGCAGTTTTTTTATTTGTTAGATAGAACCTCACTCATTGTAGCTGAGGGAAACCTGAAGGTTTCATTTTAACCCTCTCCCCTCAACATATCCAGGATCAGTCTGAGAGTATGAATCTGTGAGCTCCTACATGCCCTTTGATGCCTCTCCTGCGCCACCTCAACACACGCTGCAGTAGCGGTGTCCAAATTAATATTGTCAGTGGTGCTTTTTTTTCTTTCCCAAAGATAATTTCCCTATTCTACTATAAAAATAATAACGAAAAAATGTGGTATATAAATATTATTCTAGCCACACAATCTGTAATTAATGCAGGGCAGAAGCTCACTGATTGCTCATCTCATGTAATTACTCCTCTAATCATATTTAGGAGAACTGCTCTGAAAGGTTCTGGTAGATATTCCCAGACAAATTTAACAAATTTAGATTCAGTCGGGCAGCCCTACATCCTAAAACTGATTACAACAAACTGATAGCTAGCAAATAAATACTCTCATTAGTTAAACCCCGTTAATGCTGGTAATATTTCCAAATCAAAATAACCGTTTTAGTTTGGTTGCTTGTAAAACAATCTGTTGCCACAACCTTCCAATATTCTTCAAAAATGTATGCCTTAGCAGCACAACTTCCATCAACAAAATGTATATTCTTACTGTATATGAATAATTTATACACAGACAGTGACGTGTGATTAAATCAGCGGGAATTTCCCTCTGTGACATTGTGGAAGGGACACGTGGAAAATAAAGCCCATACTGACAACACAACACAAGGACAAAGGGACCTTGCATCTTGTCCAAAGATATATCTTTGATATTAATCAGTGTATAGCACAAATTGCCTGACATAAACAATGTCCAGAGATACATTATAGCTTTAGGTGAAGAATGTAAATTATTTTAACTGTGGACCAGTAGTAATTGATGCAGTTTATACTGAGATGAACAGAATATGATTTACCAACAGATCCAACATATATACCTGCATGGTGAAGCGAAGGTATAACTAAACAAAAGAAGAACAGTTTGTATGTAACAGCTGCGTTGGATTTTTTTGAATGCTCTCCATATGCATGGAAGGGTCAAAGACCTTTGTTTCCCAATGTGGGTGTGCACTATGAAGGATGGATGGATAACTGGTTTGTTATATGGAGAAAGTAGACCCTCTGTTATTTTTTTCCATTTTACCATATAAAATACCTGGTCTTTAGCTGGTTCTAAAATCCATTTTCCGTCACGCTTATCCCTGCTGGGGTCCTGATGGCTGCTGTTGCTTATCTCCAGCTGTCAGTGGGCAAGAGGCAGGTTACACCCGGAACAGATAAACAAGACAAACACACACTCACACCTAAGGAGAATTTAGGGAAGCCAATTAACCACCAGCTTCCTCCCACAGTCCAAAAACTATGGGAGGAAGCCGGAGTACCCAGAGAGAACCCACAGATGCACAGGGAGAACATGCTCCATACAGAAAGACCCCAGAAACAAAGCGGGAACCTTCTTGCTGCAAGCCAGCAGCGTCACCGACTGTGCTCCTGTGCAGCCTGGTTCTAAAATCCTTTAACCAGAAAAGATGGTCTGTAAATCGACTATGCCATCATTTTCTAACGACCCTGAAACTATTAACGGAAAATTTTTTGTCACCCAAAGACTCACACAAACATCTGAAATATGTGAAATCAAAAAATTTAAAGAGGATTGATGAGGGCTTTGTTTGGTTTTCTTGGATAATAAATCCTAAAGCTTCTCTCTGCCTCTAACCTGATAGTTTGTTTCTTTCATTGGACGATACGTTAGCTTTAGGCATTAGTTGTGAAAGAGAGGTTATAGGTATTGAGACAAAATAATAACAAAAGTCCTTCAATGTACAGCTTAATAATGTTATAATAAACTTGAGCTTTTGCTTTGTCAAATGCCAGAATTCCTCACCGATTTTATGTAATATGGTAAGGGCTGTGAAGTATCTTTTTAAACTCAACAGATCCATATGTACTCAAAAGGGAGTATAGGAGCCTAAATTCAGTTTAAGTGAAGATAAAAGGAATCATTAATAAGTTACAGTATTTTTTAATAAAATTGTTGAACCTAATGGAAATAATCCTGTTTGTTTGTTTGTTTGTTTGTTTGTTTGTTTGTTTATTTGTTTGTTTGTTTGTTTGGCCATCAAGTGAATTATAGAAGGGAGAGGAGCGTCAAGCTTATGGCTTCATTACTTAGGAATCTACAGGGGGAGGTTTGTTAGTTGTGCAAAATAGTTTTTTTAACTTCCATATCACAAAAGGGAAAATAGTAGAGCATTAAAGTTGACATTTAAATCTAATTTCCCTTCAAAAACAGCAAAAAAAAAATTTTTTAGTTACTGGAAGGTTTTTATTATCTAATTTGACTTTTATTTATGTTTTTAACTCAAACTCTCAAAGAGATTAATTGAAATTAGTAACACAGAGTTCACTTCCAGTGAGATGTTTTTTGTTTTTGTGATGTTTATGAAAGTACTTGCTGAAATAATGTTTTAAGGGCAATTTGAATAAAAAATCAGTTTGCCTGTGTTACTATGGTAATCTAATGCAGTGACAGAGATTTGCCTTTGTTAAATAAAAACTCAGCCACAAATCTCTCTTACAGACATTCAGTTCTTTGATATTAAAGGCACACTATGCAACATTTTTCAGTTAATTAATGTGTTCCATAACGTTTTGGATGATTAAATGAGTCATTTCAGGTTGAACAAAGGTATTCTCGGCCGCCCTGGTGGTCTGTGGGGGAAATACTGCACTTGCAATTGCAGGAGCACCGACCCGCACCCACAGGCTCAGAAGTCTCGTGAGAGTCAGTCTTGCTTTACCGCGAGAACTGCTACACCCCCCAGTTAAAAGCATTCTCGTTGCTAGCACAGTGGCGATCCTTGTGCAGTTATGCTACGTTCACGCAGCAAAAGCAGCAAAATCGTGTCTGCTGCTTCATTTTTGCTGCTTGAACCAGTTAGTTCTGACGCTCTGGCTGTGCGGTGCAAAAGTGTGTCTGACGCGCGTTGGGCGGAGCTTCACTATCCTTTCTCTGCCTTGCAGCTATATTTGCTGTGATCATTTGGAATAAAGTAGTTTTAATATGTGTTTAAATGAGAAAATACACCTGAAAACGTAATCAGTGCCGTCAGTTCATTCAGATTATTATCCTGCCTTCAATATTTTTTCTGTCGGAGCCGCTCAGACCCCCACATACCAGCGGGGCGCCGACAGAAGGAACCACTTCATCAGCAGCCTCTGGCCAGGTCACGTCCTCGCGGTTCACCGCGGCAGCTGGTAGGTGTTTTTCATCTAAATAATCCAAACTGCATATTCTGCCGGCAGATTTCTGCATTTTAAGTTAATTTAGGCGTCAATAAACTGTTTAAGAGGAGAGATCATAGCCTCTGATCATCAGCGCTGTGTCTCTCTCCCTGCTTCAGCTGCTCAGACGCGCTGGGCCTGCTGCTCCTTTGCTGCGCCTTGACGCGCGTCAACCATTGACTTTGCATGTAAACTCGCTGCTTCTGTCGCGCCAGCTGCGGTGTGAACGCAGCATTAGTCATTCGTTGCGTTCGCCTGTCTGCTAAGCTCAAAACAACCGCGCCTGGCTTGACGGAGAAACCAGGAGAACAGCTGTGCATATTTACGACAGTGCACTTTTACTTTCGCCCTCTGGGGGGAGTCTCGCTGGAAAATCAACACCGGTTGCATAGTGTACCTTTAAGGGTAAATTGATTGCTTTAAGCTAAGATTAAAAATAAAATAATACAATTATTGAAAATATTTACTTCTTTCCTCAAGCTTTTTTTATGAGCCTAATTCCTAAAGCTGAGAAGCTAGCAGGGTATCTGGATTTTGGTAGGAACGGTGTTGTTGGTGTATGTTCTGT